CGCTCCGTGCCTTAGCCGTCACCTGTCTGCCTCTTGCCCCCCTGCCGTCACTAGCCAAGCCAACACCGGGTCCCACTCCCAGGGTAACCCGTGGCCCAGCCGTTGGCGGGGCATTGGCGTCAGAGGTCGACTCACCCGGACGGTGTATAGCCGTTGACCCTGTTCCTCCAACAGCGCTTCCAGCGTTCCCGTGACCTGCTGCCAAGCCTGCTGTACCGCTCATCCTTCTTCCACTGGCCCGTGCTTGTCCAGGCCCCTTTCCAGGACTCCTATCATCTGCGGCCGCTTCTCCTTCATTCCCTGCAAAAGAAGACACAAAAACCGAACGTTCGCCAGTTTTGTTGCCTCCCCGTTCGGCAGCCGAACGGCCGGCAGTATATCTACCTCCCCGTTCAACTCCCGAACGTTCAGCAGTCGAACGGCCGGCAGTATGGCTACCTCCCCGTTCAACTCCCGAACGTTCGGCAGTTCTTTCACCTCCCCGCTCGGGAACCGAACGGTCGGCAGTAACAGTACCTCCACGTTGTCTCCCATTCACCAATTCGCCTACCTCCACGTTCGCCTCCCGAACGTTCAGCCGTTTCCGCCAGTTTGCTGATTCGCATACCTCCACGTTCGCCCCCCGAACCAGCAGCCTGCACCTCCAGCCTCGCTTGACGGCTCATTCGAGCGGTTGCGCCGCAACGCCGCCAACGACCTCCTCCACTTGCGGCGTCCCCGCCGGCACTCTCCTCACAGCCATTGGGACCTCCAGAAGGGCTCTTCTGACGCCGGGGCACGGGAACCACGCTGGGGCTCAACCGCTGCGGAGGCCTGGTCTTCCTGACCGGCCTCTGACCCTGGGAACCTCCAGATCCGGATGGCAGAGCATCACTCAGGCAATCCCTGAGCCACTCGATCCCCCTCTCCTGCACAGCAGCCCAGACTCCTTCCAGCCAATCTTCCATCTTGCTGACCTGCAGAGGAAACAAAGAAAAAAGCCACACAAATCCTGCCACAACAAACAGGTAAGTGTAACTTAAATTAAAGTGATCCTTGGTTCTAAAATGGCCACTACTTATACTCCCCTTGAAAACTCCACCCCAGCATTTCCAATGACCAATCCCTGACCTCTGACCTTTAGATGGCCTGACTCCTGGCAATGTCAAGGCCCACTCCCCTTAGCTACGCTGCTCCATGGGCTACATTCACGCATAATTTATGCAAATATCCGCCCATGTCAAGGGGCAGGCTTCAGTCAGTCTTATTGTGGCTGGTGAGTTAACCCTTGAGTGGGGTGTGCATGAGAAGTTCAGTATCACATTGCCTGCCTGTCTCATGGTGCTGGAATGATCCATCGCTTGGGACCGGCAGAGTGAGATAGAAACACAGTGGGTGTCTGTAAGGCTTATAGGACATGACCAATACGATTACTGTAATCTTTATGAATGACATGTAAAAAATACCTAAATAAACAGACTACATTCTTGTTGTGTCTATATAATAGTTGGCCATAACAGGATATTTGGTTTAACCCTTTGATATAAGCAATATAATTCAGCATTATGCAGCTGGCAATGTTTTGTGGGAGTTGTATGACAGCTGTGGACCTATCTTTTAGCCCAGGGGTGTCTGAAAGGTAGATCCCCAGATGTTATAGAGCTACAACCCCCATGAGGCTTTGCAGTCCTTTAGAATGACAAAGCATCATGGAAGCTGTAGTTTTAAAACATCTGGGGATCTACCTTTTGGGCACCCCCGTATTATGCCGAATTGCACCAGAGAGAGCCCAAACTAATTATTCTTGTACCATTGCCAACTCTTCATAGGTTCCGCCATGAGGAATGCTGTATATCTTTCATTCATCATTAATGTCACAATCTTATTTGTCTTAAATAATATGCTTCATATTTATTGTCATATGAGCACAGTTATTGTATATTCAGCCTCCTCCAGATCTTTACTCCTCGTGGCATTGGCTCTTCTTGTGACCTAATAACATGTGTGACTACCTCCATGCTAAATGTACAGTTTTATATTTCTTGGTTCCTATGTCTGTTTTATGAAATTGAACCCGGTAAAGTACCAGCATCAGTTGAGAACAATAATGCACATGTTAGTAATTGAGACAATTTCTTCTAATTACATTCTGAAGAATAATAACAGCCTAAAACAGGGGAAAACAACGTTTAACTCTCCAGATCTCGTGGTATTGCTTTGCCGAGGTTTCCTCCTCCTGGCCTCGAAGATTCTCTCATTGGTCCCATTGTTGGGGGGAATGCTGGAAGCTGTGTGTTAAGGTGTTCACCATGACTTGTGATCTTCAGTTGATGTGATTGCTCGGCATGTAGGCTACACGTTTGTTGGACCACAAGTTCCTGTGGTTTTTTTTGTGTTTATTCCATGTGGATTACATGTATTACAAGGACATACATTAGTCTCACAGTCTTACTCAACAAGTTTATCTACAGCTATTACAACAATGGTCTCACAATGTCATTGTTGCTTGCTAATTTATGGTGTGAGCTTAGATCACCGGGGGGGAATTAATGTATGTCAAACTTTAATTAGTTACAGTCTGCGTCTCAGCTCAAATCTTGTTTTACCAG